GCCGGGGGCCCGGTCTCCTGGGTCTGAGGGAGGAGGAGCTGGGGGCTTGGATCCGTGGGTCTGAGGGAGGAGGGGCCGGGGGCCCGGTCTCCTGGATCTGAGGGAGGAGGGGCTGGGGGCTTGGACCCCTGGGTCTGAGGTAGGAGGGCTGGGGGCCTGGACTCCTAGGTCTGAGGGAGGAGGGGCTGGAGGCTTGGATCCCTGGGTCTGAAGGAGGAGGGGGCCTGGACTCCTGGCTCTGAGGGAGGAGGCTGGGGGCCTGACTCCCTGGTCTTTGTAAGCATACCTGAGTCTTGCCAGAAAGCAGAGTTGACTCTGCAGCAGACACAGCAATATCTAAGAGCCCAGGTGTAAGTCTCCCAGACAATCTCCACCAACGTAGAAGCCTGCTTCCTCCTCCCCAGAATCATCAGCTCCCACTCCCTCAGGACCCCACTTCAGGGACCCCAGCTCTCTCTTCCCTCAGACCCTAGAGTGTGCCCCCATGTACCCTCTCTGTGACCCTGCTCCCCTGGGGCTGGGGACACTTACCAGCAGCACCAGGCTCCCCCAGGCCCGGAGGCCCCCGCCAGCGCCGATCATGTCTCAGATACTGCCAAGGGACCCAGGTGTCCCAGCCCCGGACCTTCCACCTGCTGGACTTTAAACATAACAATTTCCCGGTTCCCAGCCCGACGGTGAGGCCACAGCCCAGGGGAGGGAGGAGGAGGAAGTGGAGGCCGGCCGTGAGAGCCCGCAGCCCCGCCCTCAACCCGGGTCCTCGTCTCTGGACGCTCCTGCACCCCTGGTCACGGGTTCTCCCCTCCAGCCCCCGCCTGGCCCCGCTTTATCCTGCCAAGGCCCCTTCCTCACTCAGTTGAAGTAAGACATCCTGATATTAGGCGCTGCTGTATGAACGCACTCGCAGGGCCCAGAAGGGAGCAGGAGGGAGCGAGGGGAGCAAGATGTCTTACTACTGCATCTCACAGGTGGACACTTACCACCAAGACCAGGCCGGGGTAGATCTGTCCCGAAGTGGGGTTTGCCTTTCGATTCAGTCTCTGGCCCCTCTTGCCTCTTCCTGCCTCCCCACAAGCCCTTGCAGTTCTCACAGAAGGAGCCCAGTATGTTCCTGCCTCCCGGCCTTTGCATGTGCGGTCCACGCCCCCCACTCCCCACACTTCCCCCGAGGTGCACCCTCCTCCTATTCTCCAGCGATCTCGTTCCTGCTCCTCCGTTAGGATTCAGTTCACAGACCGCGCATGCTGGGTCAGACGCCCTCTTAGCCCCATCAGGAACCTAGGCCGTCTCTACAACACACCCCAGACTGTTGGTAGCATATTTGCATACTCACCTTGCCACACTCACCTGTGACCTTAAATAAGTGGCTACACTCGCAGTGACTCAGATTCCTTATCTATAAAAAAATGGGCACAATCGCTGATAATTACGCTGTGGGAAATGCTTTCCTATGTATAAACTCTTAGAATAAGGCCTGGCTTCTTTTAAACACTCCATAAATCGTAGCCACATCTATTTTTGGTTCATCCCTAGACCTCCAGTGTGCGGAAGGGCTTTTCCGGGTGTTTTTGTGGACTTGATGATTATATGCACACACGAGCTGCCTTAATTTCACACACGTATGAAAGCGAGGAATGTGGGTACTGGAGCCATATGCCTGTGTTCGCATTTCAGCCGTTAACCACCTATGTGCTCTTGAACGTCATCCATCCAGCCTCTCTTTGTCTCTGTCTCCTCGTGTTTGAAATGGAATTAAAAGTACTGTCTAGCTCAGATACACAGTAGCTACCCACTTCTGGCCAGTTCTGGAGCCATGGAGAGCTCAGGGTCCCCTGTTTGAAAAAAGGGTGGCCCGTTATTCATCTCAGCAGAGTCTGATGGAAAGAGGTAGGCGCATCTCTGGCATTAATTGTTACTATGTATCAAAGACTTTGGAGAACATTGATTGACTAAGGAGGCATTTTCGTGAGTGATGGAAAAACAACTCAGTTATGCTCACCTACCCCTGCTAGAAGGTTCTGTAGTGTATTATGTAGCATGCAGTATATTATGTAGTGCTTAACAAAAATAAAATTTTAAAACACTGTCTACTTCAAAAAGTTGTGGTGAGATATACTGAGGAAATACATATATATAAGTTGTCTATTAGTGTGTAATAAACTACCCCAAGACTTAGTGGCTTAAACCACAATAAACACTTACTGTCTCTCAGGTTCTGTGTGCAAGGAATTCAGTAGTGGTCTGGCCTGGTGGTTCTGGCTCAGAGTTTTTGTGAGGTTGCTGTCAAGAGGTTTGCTGGGGCTGCGTTCTTCTGAAGGCTTGACTGGGGCTGGAAGATCCACTTCCATGATGGTTCACTTGCACAGCTGTTGGCAGGAGGCCTCAGCTCTTCACCACGTGGATCTCACTGTGATGCATCCTGAGCATCCTCACAACATGGCTCCCAGCTTCCCCCAGAGTCAACGGTCCAGGAGAGAGAACAAGACAGAACTCCGTGTCTTTTATGGCTTCAGAAGGCAGACACCACCATTTCTGGCATATCCAACTCATTACCCTGGTCAACCTCTTCCATGTGGGAGGGGACTCCCCAAAAATGTGAAAACCAGAAAGTGAGGACCACGTCTTGGATGGACGTGGCTACCCCATCATATTTGTACATAGTAATCATTTCATGAATGTTGGCCATTTTTATCACTTTCTGTAATATCAGTCCCCATGCGTCAAGCACACGTTACAAATGAGAAAGGAGAAGGAACTAACACGTACTGTGCTGCTCTGGAGCATCTCAGTTTTTGGACTTTGTTCTCACTTCAGGGGAGGAGGCTGGGGCCCAGAGGCGATGTGACCTGGGAATTCAATACTTGCCACTAAGCCTGAACTTTGCCTGCCCTTCACTCACTCCTCTTGCACACCCCTGAGATGTGTGGATTCATGCATCTCACCCTTGACCCCAGGGCATTCCTGAATACCCTACGATTGGAACTATACAAGACTTTTTTTTTTTTTTTTTTCGCTGAGGAAAGTTCACCCAGAGCTGACATCTGTGGCTAATCTTCCTCTATTTTTTGTTTTTTTTGTATGTGGGTCACTGCCACAGCATGGCTGATGAGTGGTGTAGGTCTATGCCCAGGGACTGAACGCTGGCCGCTAAAGCAGAGCGCGCCACTATGCCACAAGGCTGGCCCTACAAGAATTTTTAATTTTCCTTATGCTTTCTCTGATTTAAAGCTTTCATTACATAAGCATATATTTTTGTGTGTGTGTGAGGAAGATCGGCCCTGAGCTAACATCTGCCAATCCTCCTCTTTTTGCTGAGGAAGACTGGCCATGGGCCAACATCCATGCCCATCTTCCTCCACTCTACACGGGACGCCTGCCACAGCATGGCCTGACAAGGGGTGCATTGGCACGCCCGGGATCCGAACCGGCGAACCCCGGGAAGCCACAGCAGAGCAAGTGCACCCAACCGCTTGTGCCACCGGGCTGGCCCCCTACATAAGCATATTTTATACTCAGAAAATATATGTTACTTTTGTGTGTGTGTGTGTGTGTGTGTGAGGAAGATCAGCCCTGTGCTAACATCTGCCAATCCTCCTTTTTTTTTTTTTTTTGCTGAGGAAGACTGGCCCTGGGCTAACATCCGTGCCCATCTTCCTCCACTTTATATGGGACGCCGCCACAGCACGGCTTGCCAAGCAGTGTGTTGGTGCACACCCGGGATCCGAACCGGCGAACCCCGGGCCGCCGCAGCAGAGCACGTGCACTTAACCACTTGCGCCACCGGGCCGGCCCCAGAAAATATATATTATTTGAAGAGACATCCCATTTTAACTGCAGAACTCAGTTCTCACAAGACTGTTCTTGGGAAATTTCCCCCATCTGTATAATGAAGAGTCTGGTTAAAATATTCCCCAAATGCCCTGTCAGTGGGCAATGGATCAGATCTCCTCTCAACAGCTTAGGTTTCTGTTCCAGCCTTTTCCTCTTTCCCGTATCTTTGTTTCTCTCAGTCTTTCCCCCCCTCCCCCCCCCACCCCCCAGATCTTCCCATCAACTTGTACACAGGCTTACTTTCCCTGCCTAAAAAGAAAAGAATCACCTCTCTCAACTCCACCGACACCAGCCTGTCATCCTTCATCTGCCCTCTCTTCAAAACCCAACTTCTCCACAGAGTTGCCTGTACACAACCCAGCTGCTTCTTCCCCATGTTGGCAGATTCCCGTGCATGGGGAAGGCACACCAGAAATGAAACATGCAGGATCTTTCTTCTCTTCTTCTGCCCTTAAGAACAGAACTCTCCACGGAGTCACTGTGGGGAGCCGCAGTTGGCACAACCCTCCAGACTCGAGTTCTTTTCATCCCTTCTTACAAACGTGATAGTAAGCACAAGAGGTACTTGATCTGTATAACGATGGTTTCTCTGGGTCTGATGAGCAGGCATAGACTTGAGTCACCCTGGTGGCTCGTCTCAGTGCCTTAGCTCATGTGTTCTGGAAGCAGAGACTGAGACAAGGATGCTCACCATTTTTTTTGAGGGTTTGCTTTTAGGAGAAAGGGCGTGAGGGAAGAAGTATGGGGCAGGGGAAGGAGCTGAGTGAGGCTATGACTTGAGAGTAATCTACCCATGGGGGCGAGGGTCTGAACTTTGTACCCCCAGCTATGTCTATAGGTTTCTCCAGGGGTGAAAGTTTCATAACCTTCCCGGTAAGACAGTTTCTGTTAGGTCAAAGGCAATTCTCTTAAGAATGAGTCATCTGTGAGCAGCTGACACTCCTAGGAGCTGGGAGATGGGTGTTTTGTGCCATTAAAGGAGATCCGGGTTGGGCACCAACACATACACCCCGTGCAGCCTCATACCAGTTGCTGGACCAGAGCCAGTTCTCAGATTTGGAGCGCCTTTAATGTGGGGGATGCTTTTCCTTCAGGAAGGACCCGCTGATACTAACCAAAGTGTATGTTGTAAATCTTCCTCCTGACTTCCTGGAGGCCAACTTCAACGTGACTGTGGATTAGGAAAAGGGAAGGTAAGGGTTGCTAGATGCTGGTTCTGAATCAATACTAATCTATAAGGGCACAAAATGCCACTGTGGTCCATGATCTGACTGGTGCCTTGTTGGGGGGGGGTCAGGTAAAAAATGGAGGGTTGCCCGAGATTCTCATACAGTGGGCTGTGTGGACTGGAAAAATACTGTGTGGTCCCTTTCTCAGTTCTTGAGAGTGTAGTTGGAATAGCCATACTCATAAAATGGTAGATGGGGCCGGCCCGGTGGAGCAGAGGTTAAGTGCTCACACTCTGCTGTGTGGCAGCCCGGGTTTCGCAGGTTCAGATCCTGGGAGCGCACCGACACATCGCTTGTCAAGCCATGCTGTGGCGGCGTCCCATATAAAGAGGAGGAAGATGGGCACGGATGTTAGCCCAGGGCCTGTCTTTCTCAGCAAAAAGAGGATTGGCATCGGATGTGAGCTCAGGGCTGGTATTCCTCACACAAAAAAAATACTTAAATAAGTAAATAAATGAAATAAAATGGTAGACCCAACACTTCGGTTTCCTTGATCCGTGGAGTGAGGACTTTTATGGTGGGAAGGATCAATGGAAGCCACTAGAACATCTCCAACCTTTCCAAGGAAATACCTCTCAGGGAAATAGCAGATTG